GTGTGTGTGTGAGAGTGAGTGTGTGTGTGTGTGTGTGTGTGTGTGAGAGAGAGTGAGTGTGTGTGTGTGTGTGTGTGTAGTCCTTCATACAGATGAGTCTCTCTCTCTCTCTCTCTTCACAGATCGCGTTATTGCGCAACGCGACGGACGATCCGCTCCATCCGACCTCGATACGAACGCAGCATCGGACTCGGTTCGTTTAAACTCGGCTCCGCCTGAACCCCACCAAAGAGTTCGGGTGTCGCTCGCGCGCGCTCGGAGCGATGACGGACAGCCAGGTGCACGCGCATTGCTCATTCCCGACGCCGCTGGTCCTGATGCTGCGGGCGCACGAGCATCAGCAGCGCCACTGAGACGCTCGGAGCCTCGGATCGGATGGACTCGAGCCTCGAACGAAGCGATGACAGCTGCTGACAGACCGTCACCGACGTCTCCGAGCCTCGGCCGAGCTCGTGAATGAACGCTTACCCTCACCGAACCGCCCGTGTGCTTCTTCATCATCACCAAACCTTGCGCGGATCTGGTGCTTTGACTTCGACTCCGAGTGGTTCATGAGATCTGCAGCTTGTCTTCCACGTTCTGGAGAGACTCCGGCGCTTTAATCTGGATATGTTGAAAGGCACGTAAGGATGGATGGGATTATTAGTGTTTTGGGGTTCCTGACGCTCGTTTTGGAGGGCATCTCATGCCAGGGAGTGTATGGTAAGTGCCAGCAGCTCATACAGATGCATTTATATGCCAGTCAACATTCAGTGTGTGCGTGTGAACAGGTGCCATTTCACAAACCATCCAGCACCAGATCTATCTTCCCAACAACCGATCCACAGGTTTTTAGAGGGGAAAACGATGCATTATGATCAGTCAGATTCACCAGTGATTCGTTGGAAATAACAGTTGAACATTTCAGAATTAGAAAAGTTTTTTTTAGGTCTAAGATTTGGTCGTCATGTGCATTTTCACTGCATGACATAGTTCAATATTCCCAATCCACAAGGAAAAATAATGCAAATAGCCATGACATCTATTGCAAATGTGCATATCGCATGCCAAACAGTTCATCCTTTGGGTTTTCCTTGCATTCAATGGAAGTCATTGCATTGCATTAAAGAAACCCTGTAGAAATGCTTCAGTATTCCCAACCAACAAGGAAAAATAATGTGATAAACCATGATATATATTGCAAATGTGCATATTGCATGCTAAAGAGTTCATCTTTTTGGTTTTCCTCATTTAATGGAAGTCATTGCATTGCATTTAAGAAACACTGTAGAAATGCAATAGAAGTCATTGCACTGCATTAAAGAAACACCGTAGAAATGCTTCAATATTCCCAACCAACAAGAATAAATAATGCAAATAGCCATGACGTCTATTATAAATGTGCATATTGCATGCTAAACAGTTCATCCTTTGTGGTTTCCTTACAATCAATGGAAGTCATTGCATTGCATTAAAGAAACACTGTAGAAATGCTTCAATATTCCCAACCAACCAGGAAAAATAATGCAAATAGCCTGGATATTTAATATTGCATTCTAAACAGTTCATCCATTGGGTTTTTCTCACTTTTAATGGAAGTTGCATGGAGAGACATTCATGCATTTTAATTTGCATTGAAGAAATGTTGTCGAAAAGCTGTACGGATGCTGTTTAATGTGTCATTGTGGTTGCAAATGTCACAGCAAGTGTCTGAAATCTGCATATGTCGAGCTCTAGCCTCTCCTTATCCTGCATTCTCATCGTGTACTAAGCAACTAGTAGCGTTCTAGTAGTGTAGTGTGGGTTAACCAGAGCTTTGCATGACCATGAGTCATAATGTGCAAATGTCATGAGGGAAAACATCTAAGCATTGTTTACTGTGGGCCGCTGTTGCTCAGGGCCGATCTGATTGGCGGGTCACGCGTTGAGATGGTGGACGTAATATCAACTAGATGGCTTTCGTTTCTGGAGTCGGTTCACATCGAGAGGGGCACGCAGGATAGCACACATGTGTCTCTGAGGGGCTAATAGGATAATAGAGTTTGGGCAGAGCCGGGTTTCGCTGATCCATGAGAATGCACTTTAAAATCAACGACTTCAGCACCGATGGAGGAATGGAAATGACGGTGTGAGATGCTGTTGAATGCCAACACGCTCTGAGACGCCCAGCAGTATCTGCTTCCTAATTAGTGTTAATTATAGTTTCCCTTCTAGTGTTCACTGCTCCCTACACACTCAGCAGGGGACACTTAAAGGAATAGTTCAGCCAACAATGAAAATTTCCTCACCCTCAGGCTATCCGAGATTAGGATGAGTTTGTTTCTTCATCAGGTTTGGAGAAATTGCATCAGTGTCTCACTGCAAGTGAATGGGTGCCGTCAGAATGAGAGTCCAAACAGCTGAATTTGCCATATTAGTTTATTTAGATAATCATATTTTCAAAATGCATGTATTCAAATTACTTCAGCATAAATCTGTTCATTGTGAAGTTTATTCAGTTAAAAAGTTTGAACATGGTTAAAATATGAATAAATATCAATATTCAGTTAGTTAAAATGTATGAGATTGAAACAATTCATAATTACCGTTGGTTGATAAATAAATAAATCTGGTCATCGAGCATTTAAAACACATTCCGTTTATAAGTACTATTACAGAAATCTGATGTTTGGCTGACAAATATGCATCACATTATGTGGATCAGTTTATTTATGTTAAAACTCTATATGCAATTTAAATACATATATCATAACTTCAGGCCTTCAAGTTTCAAGTTAAGTTTCAACTATGATATAACATCATATACTTGTATATTTATTTACTTGTGTGAATAAATATGAATATATTGCATAAATTAGAGAGATTTTGTGAGCCGTGGTCATGATAATGGTGTCACATCAGGAGATCTTAACTCACCTCAGGACTAGTTTTGGTTAGTGGTCACCTTAGCTGCGCTCATGTATATCTGAGGACATAAAAAGACTATTTTCTCCTATTTTAGCTAAACTTGTGCAGTACAGAGGTGCTGCTGACGGCTCAAGTGATCTAGCGATGCACACTTGTTCACTATGCCATTAGCAGCACACTGGAGCCCATTGAAGTCCACTACACAGTGCACAGTCGGGAGATTGGAACGAGGATCCGTCAGCCGTATCCCATCATGCATTAGTGCAGAGTGTTTGAACAGACAGTGTAATGAGTGTAACTCCATGATTAGTCATTTGTGTTATGAATCCCAGTCTAAACATCATTATGAAAATGGTTGGCTTTATGCGATATGCTGCAGCACCTGATATTAGACTGCGGTTTTATTGATGCTTGGACGAGAGCTGTTACATTTTACACTTTACAAGGTTCCATTTGTAAACATTTCTTAATTAACAATTCTTAATAACAACAACAATCCTTAATACATTATTAAATCAAGTGTTGCATCTGTTTATGTTATTTAATATTTATATATGTGTTTTTTATTTATACACACTACCGGTCAAAAGTTTGGGATCAGAATGATTTTTAATGTTTTTACAGGAGCTTCTTCTGCTCATCAAGGCTGCATTTATTTGATCAAAAATACAGGAAAAAATTTAATATTGTGAAATATTATTATAGGATGAGTTAAATTGTTAAGAAGTGAAAGCAAAGATTTATATTGTGAGAAAAGATAATTGATAATTCTAATAATAAATCAGCATATTAGAATGATTTCTGAAGATCATGTGACACTTTATACTAGAGTAATGATGACGGAAATACAGCTGCGCATCACAGAAATACATTTGATTTTAATGTATATTAAAATAGAAAAAAATGATTTTACATCGTAATAATATTTCACAATATTACAATTTTTTCTGTATTTTTGATCAAATAAATGCAGCCTTGATACGCAGAAGAGACTTGTTTAAAAAACATTACAAGTCTTACTGATCCCAAACTTTTGAACGGTAGTGTATGTATTTGCTATAATATATTTACATAAACATATTTTCTACCAATGTTTTGGCCATTTTTGTATATTTTTGAAAAAGTTTTTTTAAGTTTGAAATATATAAAATATATTTTCATTTTTGAAAATGCTTTTCATTGAGCTTCACTGTTTACAACATTTATTTATTTAATATTTTTTATTGTTTAATATGTTTGCCATATGGGATAACATGAGCTAAAAATGAACAGTTTTTTTTTTTTTTTTTTTTACTGATGTTAACAAACAAATAAATACTGTGACAAATGTAACGCTCGATGTTAGTTAGTTAATGCATTAACTCACATTAACTAACGAGACCTTATTGTGAAGTCTTACTGCGGATTCTGAACAAGTGTTTTTCTCCTGGGAAGATCTTTTCATTCACAAGTGTTGAAGTGGTGATGAGCGCTTGGACAGAATAAATGGATTTGCTGGGCAATTTCATATTTCTTTCTCTTTCACTTCCCAACAAACACCTTTTTAATTGCTGATGAAGAGCGAAAGATTAGGTGTGGAACTGATGCTGAATTTGTGCTGTTGATGATTCTCATGCTGACGCAGAGGATGATGGGAAATGTAGTTTATATTTGTATGGCTTTTTTGGAGCTTGACGGTCGTAATTATTCAAAAATGCTCTTTTTTTTGTTCTACAGAAGAACAATATGATTTGGAATGACATGCTATGATGACAAAATGTTATTAAGCTTTCTACTAAGACGCCCCAAAGAAGTGTATTGAATATGCTACTTCTTCAAAATCTTATAAATATATATTTTTTAAAAATGTATGTGCAGATAATATAATATCAATGAAAAAAAAAGCCTGTTAAGTGCACTTTACAGAGACACTTTCATGACTGTTTCTAAACGCACTTAAGTAGACTTTTAAAAAATGCACTTTGTAATAATGTAAAAGTAACAGTTTTGCTTTAAAGTTTTTCATTTTAAATCATTGTTTTAATAATATTTTGTCATGCTTTAAAGAAGTGTTGACTAACATACTAAATTTTACCTGTAGTGTGTTATTTGATATTACATTTAAAGTTGATAGAGTTTAAATGCACTAAATTGCAACTTCAGAAATGTGTAATTACAAATATATTCTAAATTATTTACATATACAAATTATTTTTTTAAATAGAGCACACACTATTTTAGAAATTGCATTTAAGTATATTTTAGTTGTCAGTGCATTAAACAATATTTCAAAGACAGTAGAAGTTATTATAAAATTAGATAGCACATAAATGCATATAATTTAAAATCAATTGCATTTAACATATACAACTATAATGCATTCACTGCATGCAATTAAGTTTCTGAACGCATTACATTCAGCTGCACTTAAGTATATTCTTTTAATTAAGTACTTTTTAAAAGAATGTTAAAATGTACTATTTTTCAGAAGGGCTCTTTGGTTTAATTTCGGGAATTCTTGAAAATGAAAAGGTGACGGGTTGAAGGTTTTTCATCCATGATGATGATGATGATGATGATTTCAGAGGAGAAGCGTGGGATCCGTGCGTCGTTATGTAACATTGTTTCATGCGACGCCTCTGTTCTTAAAAGCGTCAGGATGAGTGAAAACAAGGCTGCGGCTCTTTATTCCCTGCATCAGCCGCTAGTGAAGTCTCAGCATCTCCTGGGGTCTCTCTTCACGGCGAGCTTCAGATGCCGGCCGTCTAAACTATGCAAATGCATTCCACCAGTGCAACTAAAGCGCTCTTTGTTGCTTCTCTGCGCCTCCTCCAGAG